TTGTTAAGCAAAATTCTTTAACATCGTGGCTTCAATTAGACATTTTCAATTTGGCATTTTCGATACTATATATATCTTTGTTTCTTATTTCTTAAGTTAACATACAGTAAGGTTACTGTTGACTTACATAATACACTCCCTAATGATCCCTGACATCGATGCTGCATGGTCCTTCTTTTATGACTCCTTTAGTATGGTAATCAATAAACATGCTCCCATAAAAAAAAAGAGGATAAAAAACCGATGCAGTCCTTGGTTCAACCGAGATTTAGCTGAACTGCTTCACCTCAAGAACTCCACCTGGCGCAGGGCTCGTCACTCAAAATCCCACGACGATTGGCTATCATTCAGGAAAATTAGAAATAAATCTATACAGGCTATCCGCAAAGCCAAGGTTGATTTCTTCCATAATCAATTCAACCTCTGTGGATCCAATCCAAGGACATTCTGGAAAACAGTGAAAGAGATGGAGAATAAACCCCCATCCTCTCATCTCCCTAACTCCCTCGTTATTGAGGACACAGTAGTCACCGGTATTGAACGCATAGCAGAGCTCTTTAACCAGCACTTTGTTAAATGTGGGAACCTATTTGACTCTATAGCGCCTCCTAAGCCCCCCACCAACACTCCGCCACCCCTCTAGCGCAACCCCATGTCACAGCTTCTGCCTACAGGAAGTTAGTGAGAACGATGTGCTGGAGGTCCATAGCAAACTTGACCCCAACAAACCTGCAGGTCTTGATGGGCTAGACCCCTTCTTTTTTAAAGTTGCAGCCCCGATTATTGCAGAAGCTATCTCCCACCTTTGTAATCTGTCCATACAGACAGCAGTGCTACCTTCTGCCTGGAAGGCAGCCTCAGTGCAACCTTTGTTTAAAGGGGGAAACCATGCTGACCCCAACTGCTATCGTCCAATATCCATTCTACCCTGTATAGCGAAAGTGTTCGAAAAGTTAGTTTGCAAACAGCTAACATGGTTTCTGAAGACTTACAACATACATGCAGACATGCAGACATGCAGTCTGGGTTCCGTGCAGGTCATGGGTGTGAGACGGCGACTCTCAAAGTCCTAAATTATATCATCAATGCCCTTGACTCCAGACAATACTGTGCTGCCATTTTCATCGATCTTGCCAAAGCCTTCGACACTGTAGATCACCGACTGCTTCTGGGAAAGCTTAGATGCATTGGTGTCACTAACCAATCGATAGCCTGGTTTGAAAACTACCTGTCTATGCGCACCCAGTGTGTAAAATCTGAAAATCTGATGACACAGCCCCTATCCATCTCTAAGGGAGTACCACAAGGCTCTATCCTAGCACCCATCCTATTCTCAATATATATAATTGACATGGAGAAATCAGTGGGCAACTCCTCTATCCACCTATATGCCGATGACACGATTCTGTACACTGCTGGCCCTTCCCCAGATACTGTCCTGAAAACTCTTCAGGATAGATTTCAGAGAATCCAGTCACATCTCTCTGCCCTTGGCCTGGTCCTGAACACCACTAAAACCAAGATCATGTGGTTTGGCCGCAGTGGTGCCTCCCAAACTGGCACTATTGTGACCGCCGATGGCCGGGACCTCGAAATAGTTACATCTTATAAATACCTTGGATTTTGGATTGACAGTAATCTGTCATTCTCAGAACATCTCTCCAAAATTCAGACCAAGGTTAAAGCTAGACTCAGCTTTCTATATAGGAATCGCTCCTCATTCACTTCATCTGCTAAACTCTCTCTGGTCCAGATGACTGTCCTTCCTCTGTTCGACTACGGTGATACCATCTACCGCTCGGCGTGTAAAGGAGTTCTTGATCATTTAGACGTTCTGTATCACTCCGCCATCCGCCTCGCCACCAATGCCCCCTACAGGACACACCACTGTGACCTGTACTCTCTGGCTAACTGGCCCTCTCTTGAGACCAGGCGCAACATCCATTGGCTGATGTTTGTTTACAAAACACTCCTAGGCCTCACCCCCTTCTACCTCACACAATTACTGCAACTCCGCCCACCACCGACGCACAACACCCGGTCAGCTACAATCATCCTGCTAAAGATCCCCAACACCCATACATCCTTTGGCCGCTCCGCCTTTCAATTTGCAGCAGCAGATAGCTGGAATGTCATCCAAAAAACATTGAAAATGAAAACCTTTGTCTCCCCCCCGCACCTTCAATGTCACTATTATAGACACCCTGGTACACACATGTAGCTGCTTTGCCTGATGCTGATTTTAATGACTGATTGAACCACAGCAATATTGTTTTAGAGTTTGTATATGTTTAACTGCTATGCCTGTCATCTTTGCTCTATGTGTTTGTGTTGTCTCCTGTGTTCTGTAGTTCCCGGAGTCTGTCTTTTTATTTTCATCCCCTCAGGAAGCATTTTGCCTCCTGCCAGGTCATCATTGCAAATAATAATTTGTTCTTAATTGATTTTCCTAGATAAATAAAGGTTCTACTACTACTACTACTACTACTACTACTACTACTACTACTACTACTACTACTACTACTACTACTACTACTACTACTACTACTACTACTACTACTACTACTACTACTGCTACTACTACTACTACTACTGCTACTGCTACTGCTACTACTACTACTACTACTACTACTACTACTACTACTACTACTACTACTACTACTACTACTACTACTACTACTACTACTACTACTACTACTACTACCACCACCAGGGCCGCCCCTGGCCAACTTGGGGCCCCAAGCGACATTGTGAGATGAGGCCCCCAACCGACAGGAGTGAAACATTTAATTTTATAAATACTATATTATTTTATTATTGTAATATAGTCAAGACAAAACATGCCTATGACATGCTCAAAAAACTGATATTTCTTAAATCTGTATTCAAATGTAGTTCCCTCTGTCAGCAATGTATCAACAACTACACACACATTTCTATCAGTATTTCTCTGTGTTGTGGTTAACATGATGATGACTGTTAGGAGTTAAGGGGAGAGGCTGAGCATCACCATCAAATGTGCAAATTGACATAAAAATGAATAAAAGGGGAACAAATGCTCCATGTTTTTTAGGCTGTAAACTTTAACTGTTATGCAAGCCAACTAGACAGACAGTCAGGGCCAAATGCAGACACTCACTATGACTCGCGAAAGTCAGAAATGACCACCAAAACAGAAAGATATGGACACAAGATGTGTGCAACTGTATTTAGTTTCCTATCCATTTGAACATGATTTAAGTGGGGGGGGGGGGGGGGGGGGGGGGGGGGAACTCACCTCCTCTAGGGGGGTCCGGGGGAATGCACCCCCGGGAGGACTTTTGTTTTTTAATATTGAAGTTAAAAGCATCAATCTGGTGCACTTTGAGAGCAACATTAGGAGATCTATGGATACATCTCTCAACACGATATGAAACAGAACTGTAAGCAGATTTTCTTTTTCTTTATGGATATTTTACAAATCACTCCCCTTTCAAACTGTATTCTTTTTTATTAATAACAACTTTTTTGTACTGTCATATAGTATTTTATACCTGTTTTTCACATATTCTCTTATTTTTTTATAACTATAATGATCATATAAAGGTGTGCCTTTACCTCACTGAGCTGAGGTTATCAGAGCCTCTCAGTCTTTCAGGAGAGAGCTCTCTAAAGCTCTCCCCCCACGGCCGCTTACAATGTAAATTCCAATGTTAATAAAAGCACACAGAAGCTGTGTACGTTTTTTGGGAGTTTGATTTATTTTAAATGAACACAAATACAAAATTAAAACCTATAATTGCACACTAAAACCATTATTTCAAAAAAAGAACAATTTCACACAAACCTCTGGTTTTTATTGGGGCTGGGGCAGTTCAATTTGAAGTTGGGGGGGGGGGGGGGATGTGTGCCATAGTTTATGGGCGCTGTACGCAATATAGGCGTAGTTCTGTTAGTATAAGATAATAAGATTTACTTTGTTGATCCAAAATCGGGAAACTGTGTTGTTATGAAATAAAAATAATTTTTTTTTTAAATTTCGAACTTTTTTTTTTTCTCCCCAATTTTCGGCGCCCCCTATGGGTCGATGCGCCCTTAGCATTCGCCTATACTGCCTATGCCGAGGGCCGGCCCTGCAGACAGTTTATTACTCTTCCTCCTGTACATTAGCAGATAAAAGGCATAACATACTTGAATGAATGGTAAATAAAGAATGCTGGAAATAACTGCATCTCCATTAGCCTGTATGCTCTGCAGAGACTGCCTTCTTCATGTCGTGAATTGCAGCTGATGTTTTATTGGCAATTGGCAATTTGACTTATACATTCGCAAATTGTACATTTGACTCATACAATAACCCACCTTCGAGTGATGCTCTAGTTTCTTCATGTTTTGTTTTTTTCCCTCTAGCTTGCGCCGGACTGAAACTGTCTTTTCACCGACATCTCTTCACCTGCACTAGTGGCCGAATCAAAGCCGTGATTGGTCAGATGTCGATTCATTGTAACGGTGTCGGGTTATAGACGTGCTCCCCTTGTCACCTCTCACTCTCGCGTGTCAGCGGGTGCGCGGAGAACTGCGCACAGCAGCTGAGGCCCTCTGGGCGGGGCCCCCTGCACAAGGTGGGGCCCATGCAGCCTGCGTGATTGGCCTGTAGGGAGGGGCGGCCCTGACTGCCCTGACTACTACTACTACTACTACTACTACTACTACTACTACTACAACTACTACTACTACTACTACTACTACTACTACTACTACTACTACTACTACTACTACTACTACTACTACTACTACTACTACTACTACTACTACTACTACTACTACTACTACACTTAAGTCAAAACAAATCTTATTGATAATATTTTCTCTTGTATTTATTTTCATTGCATTTGATATTGAGGTAATCCTAAGTAACAGAAAGTAATCATGTTACATTACTTCTATATTTTGACACTCAGATTAGGTTACTGATTTATTTTCTTTGCAGCTAAATAATCATTTTAACGGAATACATTTGTACAAGTAATCCTCCCGACCCTGGTCATTAGTAATTCATATTCAGCTATCAATTAAAATGTTGTTTGCTCTTTGTTTTTTTCAGACTCCTGGATCAGCTACCTCTATTCACAGCCACAGTTCACTTCATGGACATGCACACAGTAAGTGTTGTGAAGACGCTTTGGCTGTAACATGCAGTCCTTCTTTAATCATTAATCCTTTCACCTCTGTCTTTGAAAAGGAACTCCCATATCCTACAACACTCCTACAAGGTAAGAAATGCTTTACGAATAACTTGTGAAACTTTGTATCACATTTTCAAGAAGGGAGGATTTTCTTGTGTAGTCGTGAGTCAGTCCAATTCTGTCCTCCCCAGAACTCAGCGTCAGACTCCTAATGCCTTCCAGTTCCCGTTTATGAGTGGATTATCATTACAGTCACCCAGGCACTGATGAAGCTGGGATATTTTTGTCAGTTGATGTTGACAGTTGACATCAGCTTTGTTTTCTCAGTTAGTGAAAGAAAAACATGTTTTTGCCCAGTAACAGTTGGATGTTGATTTAATGTCACAATTTATCATTGTTCCATTGACGTTACCCTGTGGTTCCATATTATCATATTGTTATTGATTGACCGTTAATTGACCGTTTTACTGCCATAAATTGATGTTCAATTTATGACAGTACAATTGTATGTGTTTCTACAAATTGCTTTTGCTTGGAGTTTACATTGATATAAAAATAAATGTTATCCGTCAGGATCAGTTGGTGTCATTACAGCACACAAAAAAACATTGCTCACACATGAATAGAAAGGCAAATCCTTTACTGGTTTCCAGTGACACAATTGTGCAAAATTTCAAACTGGATGAAATACATGGAAGACATCTGCAAAGGAAGACACTAAGCGTTGTGGCCATTTTCCACCAGCATTAATGCTTCATTACTAATACAATGACAAAGTGACACTGCTTGATCGACTTTATTGTAATCTAAACCAGATATTTCTATTGAGCTAACTGACACCATTAAAACCCACTTCCTGTGTACCAAGCTAAACGTTCCGGACGTGATGGAACCAGAGCCCAAGGAAAAGTGGTTCCACTTTGGTAAACAAAACAAAAATAGATTTGTAAGTTACGTATATAGAAAGATGTATTTAACATATACATATTACACATACGTTGTGTTGTGGAATATTTTCCAAGGCCCATAACTTTGACCCAGTTTATCAGTTCAAACTGTCCTGACTGAGCACACGCACCTCGTAACCTTGGCTGCTGTGCTCTCAGTGTTCTGTCTCCCTGTTCCTGCCTGTTGACGTCAGCTGATAGAGGTGTTATGATTTTATCTTGTTATGCAGCAGTTTGATGATGCTCTCAGAACTAGTTAAATACGTGGGTCTGAGGTAGAGTTCTTTAGAATTAACGTGGCAACTCTACCGTGAAGTCAGAACCTCTGACTCTTGGACTTGTGATGTGAATTCTCTGGCCGTAACTCCAAATAAACCTCCAGTGTTTTGACATCAAAGCTACTGCTCCTACCGTGTCTCCTTCCTGAGTCGGTGACTCCCACTGCATTGCTACACAGAAGTTTCCCTTACAATTTGGCGTTGTCGGCAGGATACCTACAAATCTTCAGAGCTGGTAAGTGTGATTTTCAAATATACATTTGGACATTGCCTTACCAGAATCTGTGATTGACGGTATCCTAAAATTACCTGTGAAACTGAGCGGCTGCGTTTCGTTTTGGTTAATGAACATTTGGGGATAATAAACCCAGGGAATCAGTGTCTGGGGACTCAGTCCTGGCTGATTTCCTCTGTGTGTGATGCTCGGGACGGAAGTGCCATACAAGCATACACAGCTCATGTTTAGAGAGTAACCTTAAAGAAATACATCAGTAAAGTGGAGCTTCTGTATGAAAGCAATGTAAAGATTTGTATTGAACAAATGGCCGAATTCTGGGGTTTTCAGCGGCCAAAACAGTAGTTAAAAATAAGCAGCCAGAGATATTCCCCCCATCGCCTCTGTGAGCACGGCTCCAGCAGCAGCCACGGGTGTGTGTGTAAACATCCCCCGTGTCTGGGTGGCTGCAGCCGTGCAGCTGAGAGGAAGAAAGTCACAGTTCTTGTCTATATCTTTAACTCACACTACCGCCATCCCTATTAAAAACGGGATGGTCTAAAAGCACTCGTTGTTTGTGACCGTCTTCTGCATTGCTGGTAAGGCTGGGGCAGCACGAGGTGCGTGCATCACCTGATGCGCCACAGCTCTCTACTCTGCTGGAGGAACATTTCCTACGTTGCTTGGAAGTGTTGCCTACGTTGCTGGACCAGCTGGTGGCGGTCCGGGGTGCATACATAACAATTATAGGCTAATTGATCACAGGTGGGCAGTGGCAAGCAAGTGTGGAACAGAAGCTGTGTTTCACCGTTGTGATGAACTCGATGGCGGGTACAGTATATAGGCTGGTCGTGTAGGACTACAGTTAACTGTGCTGTTTTTGGAGAGAAAGGGTAGAGAAAAAAAAGTTTATGTTCTCCTGGTCGGGGGTTCATAGCGCCACTGATGGAGTAGTGGTTGTCGCAAGAGGATAAGCTAGTTATTGCTTTTGGACGGTCTTCAGGCACGATCTTAGCACTTGTACAAGGGTGGATGCGCGAGTAGGTGCTCCATTTCTATAATTCCCTACCCCCTCTCTAACCTCCTAATTCGGACTAAATTGAGCTGGATGAGCTTTGCTGTCGCGCTGGTGTTTATTACGAGTTCATGTATTGTTTGTCTGATTGTTTGTATGGGGGGTCTATATTGGTTTGTCCCGCCGTCTTGTGTATGTTTTGTAACAACTAATAATGAATCAGTCCATAGACAGGGTAAAATGAACTAAACTTTAGTTATCTCACCAAAAGTAAATGACTTGAGAAAAATAAACAATATAAAGATGTAAAGCAAAATTCTGGTCGTATAAATGTGCTGCAAAATGAAAATAAATAGCAAAAGAGTGTTTTTATGTCCTGCCTCTGAGTGTGCCGAGGAAAATGTAAACAAGAAGCCCACTGTTCAGGGTGTGCGCTAGGTGTAAGAAGAAAATAAGATTATATTGCTTTAAGAATCCATTCTTAAATGATATTGCTGGTATGTTAAGATATCTTTGTGACCTTGTATAAACCCTATGCCCCGTCCTGCGCCCCGAGACCCTCAGAGACCTGCCTGAGGAGATCAGGGTTGCAAAATCTGTTTTTGTAGGTCAATGTTGTATTAGTTGTTTCATTTATTCTTAATCTATGTATTGTATAGTAATAATGAATAAAAACGTAATGTATTGAACACATTCCGAAACAAAGCAGATAAGACAGACCTAGAATCAGACATAATACTAATTGTTGTTGAAACCTTTTGCGCTGTTGCTGCAAAATGGAAACTTTGTTGATTATCTGTTCCAACTGGCCACTGGAATCAGATAATTAATATAAGTTGAAGTTCAATTACAGTTTTAAAAATAGTTTAACGTTCTTTATTAAACTGCTTCAAATTATTTCTCGTATCAACCAATTGGTCTCTATAGACATTACTAAAATTAAAATAATTGTTAAACTACTGACAAGTTTTCTGAAACCGAGCTTATGGACAATAGAGTAAAGGTCGTTGGTTAAGCCAGGATCAATATATATTTGTTGAAGTTTTTATTGTGTGCATAATAAATGTTTTAAACCTTGGGCAATCTCTTTAGATCAGTATCACTTTTGTGTTGCAAGTCAAATCCAGGGGTTCTACTCGAGCCCAATTTTAAATAAGTATTGAACCCAGCTCGAGCTAAATGTCAAATGTATTTAATTAATGTGCAAGTGCTTTGATTTATTTAAAATGTTCCAGTCTAGCTTCCTTCGAGTTTAATCTAAGCAACAAATTGTTTCTCATAACATTTTCACTGCTGTCCCAAATGTTTTAAACCTTGGGCAGACAAGCACACACAAACACCCACCCACCCACCCACACACCCCCACACACACACACACACACACACACACACACACACACACACACACACACACACACACACACACACACACACACACACACACACACACACACACACACACACACACACACACACACACACACACACACACACACACACACACACACACACACACACACACACACACACACACACACACACACACACACACACACACACACACACACACACACACACACACACACACACACACACACACTTTGGATGAGTATTCACTTTATCCAAATTGTAAATTGTTGCTTCTTTAAAGTTATTAGTAATTCAAGATTAATTATTAAATTAAATGTGGTACATAACATAGAATAAAGTAATTTTGTTCACAACATTAGACCCTGTCCTCTAATCTCTGATAGAATAAGATATGTGTGCATGTTTGGGTGTTTTAACACTCCTGTAATGTACCTAATCTTGTTATCCTTTTCATTACAGAGCTGGGAAAATGGTGTATTGATTAGATTCTGATCTGTGCAAGTCCAATTTTGACTGACTTTAGTTCTAATGTTAATGTTAATTTGATTTCAACCCCATAAGTAATTATTTAGATTAACTCAACATTTCACATGATGATGGATTAGTGCTCCACATTTTTCCCCACTAATTTGTTGTGCAATTAGGCCAATGGTAAAGAGAGACATTGATGACCTTGTGTCCTTTTTGTTAGTACGTGGTTCCATTTTGTCTATGGCCTTGGACCGCTTCACTAAGAGTCACCCAGTTCTGCCCTGCTACAGTCCGGCTGAGTGCAGTCACAGAGATGCTATGGCTGCTCTACATGAAATGACATTAATGGTCTGGTCCGAGAATGGACACCATTCCCTGCTCCCAGAGACAATGACGCTCCTCAAACTGAACAATACTGTCTCACGTGGGCCACTCCCCCCACCAAGCCATGAACTGAAAGCTTGACATCTGCTTTGAACACCTGGAAGCCTCCCGGTCACACCAGCACCAACCCTTGGGTCAGTCAGATGGGACTAACGGCTTAACTTAGGGCATTTGGTTCAGAAATATGACTCTCGTTACCACAGAGTGGGTTGGTTTTTTTAAGGCTATTCATACTGCTATGCAGAGGATGCCTGTAGGTTGGCAAGCTGTTAAAAGCCCCTACTATTTTTAAAATAGGCCTAATGTCAGGGGCCTCTTAGTTCTACATGTATTCACATTATATGGACAATGTTTCCACCTGGTGAAACTAAAGGCTGCACGGTACTCAGGCTACAATACGACCATTCTGTTCTGCTCTAACGATTCAATTGATAGATTCTACATCAAAACAATTAGCTTTTATTGTTTCCAATGATAACGTCATTTTAAGTGGAGGAATGCAAACCTGTTTTCAAATGTAAGGTTTTGAATTTGTTTGACATTTCTCAGTAATAACACCCTCAGGCACCCACTATCATTCATGCTATGCCTTCAGTGGTAACTATAGGTTACTTACGTAACCCCAGTTCTCAGAGTAACATGAAGTGAGATGTCTCACTACGGGATGCGCCTCATCGCGGAGC